TTAGTGCAGTGCAATGTATTTTCTTCTAATCAATTATCTTATATTGTTGCATGCATTTCTATCCTGATAATAGAATGCTGGTACGTAATGCAGCTTAGTTATACAAAGATTTAAGGATACGTATTTTTGTTGTTTTAACACAAGGTGTTTCATTTTTACAATTGGTATTGTGTGCTGGAAACAAAGTTTATAGAACAGTGAGAGAGGATGAGTGCCTGCTGTTAATCCTGCTGTTGACTGAGCCCAACTTCTGCTGCTCAGTTGCACTTGGAACCTTGGCTGCTGTTCTTTCTTACTTCTAAGCACTCCTAATCCTTTTTTTATATTCGCATTCTCTGCTGCATTGGTTTCATTTTGGCCTAATGCTGGTAAACCTTTGTCTTTGTGGGATCTTTTAAACCAATATTCATGGTGAGAACAGTTAAGTTATGCTTAAATTCTACTTAAAACTTTTTTTTTTTTCTTTCCTTTTATTCACATATGGGAAAGAGAGATTGAACTGACTTCCAGGTTGCACTTTACTGGGGTTGCTGCTTTTGTTTTTCAGATGTCTGGCCTTATCTCACCTAAAAAGCTTTTAGTTCACATCGACTTCTTAAGACACCATTGGGATCTGCAGTTAAGGTGGATCCCTTGTTCAGGATGGATGACGACGCTTTGATCAAGTGATGAGGGTTCTGGGCTACAGCAGAACTAAATAATCTACACTTGTTCTAATTGTTTTAATTTGTAGGCTTCCAGTGGTGAGGATGTGTCCTGAAATAGAGTGGCATGTTGCGATTTCTCAACAGTGAGATAAAGACACTTAAGACTGTCCCAAGACCTTTAGTAAGATGGTGAGAGACAGACCTCTGTTCTGCTGTTTAATAACAACTCTGAGTCTGATGACTTTTCAGCTTGGCTGTATTTTGAACGCTACTAACAAAGCATACCAAGAAATGAACTAATATAGGAAAGATGTCACAATTAGTAGAGCTTTCTTCAAGGAAGATAGCCAAGAGGATATCAGGGGTTGAGAATAAGAGCAGGGAAAGCATATAAAATGTCTTACCCAGAATGCTTATACTGCCTTCAGCAGTCTGTGAACTGATGGCTTCTTAAACTAAAGGTGAAATGTTTGTATGCAGCTCTTTAATGGATTTCTAATTGTTATTTATTTTAATGAATTTGTCAAGTCAGTTTATGAATCTCTGCAAGCATCCAAGCATCCGCAGTGAAGAGTTCTTCAGCTCGCAGCTTCTGTGAACTTCCTTTTGCTTACTGTGAGTTGATTTCTTGAAGAATACAGATGTGAACCAGGGAGATGCATTTGATGTAAGGCTCTGCCTGACTGATAGGTTTACAACATTGGGCACTGCACTGAAATAGTTCTTGTGTAGACCTTCCTCCTAATTTTACCTACCATAGTCACACTTTTCTGTTGGTCTACATGTTCACGTCAGTACAATAATTGCTGCTATATTACATCAGTTTTCTTGCAAGCTGCCTTAAAATTGAAGAGACCATTTAACCACGTGTGCTATTCACTGGAACTGTCTAGATGCCAAACAGAAGGAACATATAGCAGAGCAGTGTGTCAGAATACTTAGTAAGGCCTGTTAAGCATGGATTTTTATTTTATATATATATATATATTTAAGGACCAAGACTAAATTTGTAAAGCACTACAGATTCTCCAGTATGGGCTGGAGGAGACAGCGGTATGCAAGAGCTGATTTCACACTTTTGGATGCTGAGGTTGGCCAAGAGACAGTTCTGTTATTGTCACTGTTTCTTTTTCACACCTGCTTTCACTCTACTTCATATGCTATTTCTAGGAAGCCACTTTCACAGTGTTTCCTCACTCTCTTCCTTCTCTTCTTGGGATATGGATACAACTGTTTCCTGGAAAATAGTACATTTCCTGTAGGAAGAAGACAATCTGAAAGTTTTTGTCTTCCCAGTTACTGTCTTCCAAGTTATATGCCTTTGCATTCTGCAGTCTCTACATCTTAAATCTGAATGTGACAAAGTTGTTTCAGAGTTCACCTACTTAGTTAACACTGGAATCAAAAACATCCTTAATAGCTCTCTTAAGCTCTTATCCTTCCATCTCTGCTCCAGGTCTCCTTGACGCCACTTATTTAACATACAAAGGTGGTGCTCTGTGCTGTGTGTTGGGTATTGCCCACTGACCATCTTTCACCACCTCACTTCTGTAGCTACACCAGCAAATTCAGGCCAATTAGGAGGCTGGCAACAGGCTTAGATGCTGGACAAACAATATTTACACTGTATTTAATTGTTTTTTGGGTGGAATTAAAGTACTGCATAACATATATACACTTACCTTTGCATAGAAGACATAACTTCCATCCCTTCTTTGGCCATTTCTCTGGGATGCTTTTGGAGATCTTGGTCAACGTGTGTTGTATTTTTGTCATGGCTGTAGGCAGTTCTTCATTGTTATTCTGATAAACCCTCAGTCAATATGCCTAAGCTTATTTCTGCAGTGTTAATGCTGCCTCAGGATCAGATTTTTGTTATGTTATCGCTGCTTTGTGCTGCTTCTGCCATCTATAACAGTTTGTCTCAAGCTATAATTAAATTGTCTTTTTGTTTGGCTGCACCACTGTGGCTGTACCAAAGCATATCAATAAACTTCGTTATGTAATTCTTTATCACCAAATGGCTGCTGCTCATGATAGTGCCTCAGGAGAATTTTATTCTATTTCAAAGCCACTAAAGTTTTCTGGGACTCCTTGAATGACAAACATGCTGTTGGTTTGGGTTTTTTTTGTGCACTTAGTATAACATTGACAAATGGTATATTCAGTACCTCAGGAAGCAGTTCTGTCTTGCCTAGCTATGGATTCTGTCTCTCTTCTAAAATTATTTTTTCACATTACTTTCTACCCTACCACTGCTTACTAGACCAAAAACTTACCATGCACACGTGGCATCAGTGCATACATCATGCCCCATGTTTTTAGGTATATTGCTTCCAACAAGTGAAAAATAACTGGGTAAAACTCCCAAAGTCCTTTCTGTCTGTCTTCGTTGCTACTGCCAGCACCCATTGTGGTGCTCCAGCTGACTCTGTACTGCCTACATGCCAGAGCTGCACTGTGCTGTGCTTTGCCCTCATTAAGGGATGCCGAGAGACTTTCATATACCTGCATCTCTATACACCTACGTTAATGCACTTTTGTATTCTTGTAACGCTGAGGGTTTAGGACAGTCTGTAATTAAATGTCTTTTATTTAAGTAATAAAGAACAGCCAGCCCCAGGAAGGATTTTGGGGAGATTCTCTGTCCTGTACAGCCTGCAATGAGGTATTGTGCTCTTGCCTCCCAGCACATGCAGAGCTCATAGGGATCATGGGTTGGATCACTTCAACTGTTCTGGCTTGGGAATGGCATTAGAATTACTCATTAGGAGTAAGAAAAAAAAAAAAGTTCTGCTGCCAAGCATAGTGTGTATTTTTTTCAATGGATAGCTTTTCCAGTTTCTTACTGCCCTCAATAGCTGGAGGCTGAAAGAGCTGCTGCCCCATACAGACACAGGAGTCTATGGGAATTCAAAGTATTTCACGGTGTCTTTTCTTCTGAAATTTCTTTACAATTCAGTTGCCTTCCTATTTCTCTTTTATCATTTTGATTGCACTCGTATCAGGTGTTGGATTGCATGAACACTTCACAAAAGCCCTCTTACTGCATTATATTCTGCTGCTTGGTTCTTCCAGTTATATTCTATTTCTAGAACAGCATCTTCTTTTGAGGTGTTGTGTATATTTTCATGTTTGATCATCTTCTGTGTCTTGAACTTTGTGACATATTTCTGTCTGCCTCTTCCTTGTGCACATTGCATTGCTGGTCACTTCCTGTCCTTCCTTCTTGATCCTTTTATTGCTGGGGAATTTTCTCTACTTGAGCTCATAATTTAATGGGGACTTTCTTTTTTTTTTTTTTTTCTGGCCTGAAGAAGTGTGGTGGTCTTTCATTCTCGTTGGGTATTTATGATATTGAACTTATTTAACTTTGCAGTCAGAGTGCTGCAGTAGCTCTCATTTTTAGGAAGGGAAATATGAAGTATCTTTAGGGAAGAAAGGTAGAACAGCAAAGAAAGCTTAATAAAAGATCCGTGCAGCCTGGCCTACTTCTAAAGCAAGCAAAGAATCTTAGAGGAAAAGGCAAAATGCATTAGGAAGATCTTCTATTTGTCCTGTTTCAAATTAATTTTCTTCTAGGGCAGATCTAGCTAATGTGCATCTGAAAATCAATTTTTTAGAAGAATTGTAATAAAAAAATGAAACAAGATTAATTTCGGTGTAGGCTATCTGGAGATCTCTGTAAAAGCAGGGAAAAGAGACATGAGGTAGAATGTAAACACTATAGCAATAAGATATTTTTCTGTATCTTTATTTGGTAGTTTTTAGCAGTGCATATGCTGTGAGGAGGACTAATTTATAGATGGCTGAAGCCCTTTCTAACCATCCCCATCTTCTTTGCTTGGCTGTTCATCACAGTGTCTTTAATCCTGGCTCTCTAAAGGCTCTTCAACCCTATTCAGATGCTTTTAGGCTTATTGAATGCAATTCCTGGCAAACCCCTCTGATTTGTGTTGGATGTCATCCAATGAAAACCATAAAAACTGCCCGTGTTGCAGCTGCTCTCTTAAAACAAGACCTTTTTGCCGGGTAACTGTAACAGCTCTTGCAGCATTTGGCATTAGATTCTCCTTGACTTTTTGGCTGCCGGGCACAAGAGTACTGGACTCCTGCATGGTATAGCTGGTATCTGTCACCTTTTTAGTTTGTGCTGCTGACCTGAAGCATGGTTGCGTCTGCCAAGCGTATGCATGGATTGAGCTCAGGTATCTGTGAGGTGAGTTAGCCTTCTTTCCTAAGAGTCTGGTTCTGAATTAGTTGTAAGCAAAACCTGTGAAAATGTAGCATGTACTTCTGCCATAACCTGTATTAATTCTACCATTCCTTACCTTCACTCCTTTTTTTCCTCAGATAAATGGCTCATTTAAATTGGGAGCTACTAAAATACTCTCTGGCTGGCAAATGCAGTGCCTAGCAGCAGTCATCAAGGACGAACCAAACATGAGTGGAGGAGGGGAGCAGGTCGACATCCTTCCGGCCAATTATGTGGTCAAAGATCGCTGGAAAGTGGTGAGTAGCTCTGCCTTTGTGCTTCCTTTGGTGGCCCCAGAAGTTCACCTCCTTCTGTAGTAGTATAGAAACTTACTTGGTTAGTCCTGGGCTCCAACAAGCAACCATGGAATGATATGGTTTAACATTTTATTAAGATACTGAAAGAAAATAGTCAATATTGCTCTGGTGTTTAGAATGTCTGGTATTTTTAGAAGACTAAAGCTGCCAGGGGTTTTTAGTTAGGATTGAACTGTTGCAGTTGTCTGAGTCATCTTTTAATAAGAAATTTGGATTTCGAGTTATTCTGGCAAAGAATACTAGAAAAGTGTCTATAAATAAATTACATTACAGAAAGATAATTCAGAATCAAATGCTTGAGGTTATAATGTAATCTACTTCAGAAGTCAGAAATTCCGTAATTAGCTTGTTAATAAACTTTGATGTTAATTTATTCTAGCACTTTTTAAATTACATCCTCACATATTAAGAGTTCTAGATCTTTGTAAGTCAGCTGTCCTCTCTAGTGTGCAAGCTGAGTGGTGTAGCCATTCAGTAGCCATTTCATCTTGTGTGTACGTTGTGTGGCCACAGATCTTAATATCCATGGCATGAGTCTGCCGTTTAAACTCACCTTTTTGTGTTCCTTACTACTGTTGTATCTGTGTCAGGAATGTTTTGGTGGGTTATGTAAGAGGATGTACTTCCTCTCAACACATCAGGTTTTCTCTCTATTGCTGGAGTGATGTCCCTAGGAGTGAATGGGGGGAAGCAGCATTATATCATCACCTCAGATAAAGAAAGGAGAATGTAACGTTAGATTAAATGTTAATTAAAATCACATCTGTGCCATTGTGTCCATTTCTGACTTGAATTACTGGCAGTGTTTGAATCATTAAACTCACTGCACAAAACTCTCTAGTTTGAACTGCAGATGATTTGTAGTAGCAGCACTAAGGAGTTTCTCTGTGCTGACCAGATGCGGCACAGCTGCCTCCTGAGTTTTGCAGTGAGCTGTGAATAGCAGATGACTAAAGAAACTCAGAACTGGCCTTCAGCTCCATGTTGAGAATACATTATTTCAACAACCCACTGCAGACAAGATATCATCCTTTGTTAGTGTTACATCTTGCCTGTATCTCTTTGTTGCTCCTAAGAAGTTATACTTTGCTTTGTTCCTGTTACTCCCCCATTGCCTACCTCTCTGCATCCTAGCGTTTTGCTTCTGGTTTCTCCACACTCTTCACCTTTCTGTCTGGCTTATCCCCTAACAGCCTATTTATTTTTAAGCAATTCAAACTGCTCCTCAATCTCCGTGCTTCCTGAGAGCAGATGGAGGATCTCTATTTTCTTTGCAATTAGGTATCAAAACAGAGACACCCCCCATCCCCTCCCAAAGCTTTCCGGTGCAAATGCAGGGAAGCCTTGCTGTGCTCTTGCAGCTTTTGGCTGGAGCACATACATTTGTTTTGGAATGCTGATGCATGTGCAGGCCAACTGACGTATAGGATCTGAAACTTGTTCTGTGCTTGTGGACTTCTCAGGAAATGCTGTTTGCAGCTTTTAGCCAATGGTCCCTGCACAAACTGAGATTTCCTCAGACCTTACAATTTGATCCATTGATACATGTTCTTTGCAAAGCTGACATTGGATGCAATTCTGATGCTAGCTGTTGCTTTGAGTATATTGATGCACTCTTGGCCTTTCCTCTGGATACTTGCTAATTTGGGCTTGTGCCATTCCAACATTTCATCAAGCCTCAAGGTTCTATTTCTTGGCTGGGAGTGCTAAAACTTCTTCTGCAAATTATTATATTTTTGCGTGTGTGTGTGTCTGTTTGTTTTTCTTTCACTCTCCAAGACAAGTTAACTTTGTTCATGAATGCTGCAGGACCCTTTAGAAGCCTAAAATATATCCTGTTATGCTCCTAGAGAAACATTTCAAACTGATTTTAAATTTGTGTTGACACTAAGCATGGGACTCAGTGGCTTTATTATTATTGTGTGAGCCTGGAGACAGCTAGAAGCTCTACCAACTACTCTACCTCAGAAAATACAGAAACATGCAGGTGTACTGCCAGCAACAACTAACTCTAAGTGGAGTAACTGCCCTTCATGTTTTGTAGTGTTAGCTCACACTGTTCTTAAATACTGCAATGAGATCATTACTCTGCTTGAAGTCTCTGAGAAATTGCATCATTTGCTTAAGGCCAGAAATAGCACTGAGAAATTCTGATTCACCCATGGTATTTTGCTTTGTGTTAACTCAGTTGTGTTGTGAGCCCTCACTGCATGGTCATTGCTGGTCCCCTCAAGAGTATATGCCCGTTAGGCAGGTCTTTTGTGCTGTCCCCTTGGTGTGCCAGGTGTCTCAGTGTGATCAGTCAGAACAGGGAGCTGCATGGGACTCAGAGTAGTCTGGCAGAAGTATACCTTTGTTGGCCCAAGGGATTGGGTACCATAGGAGCAAGTTACAGATAAAAAGGGAGGTGCTTCTTAATTGAGTGTAGTTTATTGGTAGCTTTTTTTTTTCTTTCTTGTCATAGGCATTTCTGAATTTAACACATAACATGCAACCTGGACAGGCAGAGCTTTGCTGTGAGTAGTGGATCCTGCTCAAGCAGGTGTATGGCATATTTATGTGGCACTGGGGCTGAGATGCCAGAAGGCTTTTTGTGTAATTTGTTCTCCCATTGTGACTATCTCTGGCTGGGCATCTGCTTGAACCTTGTACGTCTTAGCGCTGGCATACTTCCAGCATTGAGCCAAGTTCTTATTTTAGATCAGTTTAATGTATTCCTTGAATTCCTTTCGTCCTCTCTTCCTATATGCTTGGTGACAAATTTTGACAAATGAAGATGTTAGTTCTCTGCAGTTATCTTGGCAGTAGTTCATTTCCCTGTTGCTCCAAGTGAGTAAGACTTGGCTTTCTGACAATGATTTGTTGTTGTTATTTTAGGAGAAAGGAATGGACAGAGAGTACTTGTGCCTTTCAAAACTTAGGGACTTGAAGAAGTAGTCTTTTGAGTCATCGTTCTTTACCTGAAGATGTTTTAACTAGAAGAAATTTGAATGGTACTAGAACCATGCAACTCTTGCTGAGGCCCCACAGGATGATTTGATCCACACGTGCTCTTTCTGATGTGTGCTGTTACGCTCAAGGATGGGAACTAAAACATGGCCTGTATATGCTTTGAATTAGGTCTAGGTGTCTAGGTGGCTTCTCAGTTTGTGCTTTATCTGAGTTAGTTACCCCTTGAGATCAGTGCAGCTCCTAGGTGAATAGACTTTGATAGTTTGGTGAATACCAATCTATTCTTTCTCACTTCTTGTTTAGTCAGATGAAGCCTGCTTGCCATTTCTGGATGAGCTGGCCTGTTGAGATGGGCTGTAAGAGTTGCAGACTTGACCACAGAAGTACTCCTAAGAGGTAGTTGCAGTAGTTACTGTTAGCCCTTAATAGCATTTGAAGCATATGGGTGACAGCCTTGTCCCTGGCTGAATGGACCTGTACGTTCTTCCTGCCAGAGTACTTTTTCTGCTTAGTGGGAAGGCCTTTTTTTTTTCCCCCCCCCTAGGTTCTGAAGGATTTTGTTGCAAGTATCTTTTCTGGATAAATCCAAAATGTTAAGGATATATAAAGGAGACTTCAAAGGGAGTAGTCCTATGTTTTGTATAACTGCTGATATGTCCAGAGGGCTTTAGGTATTGGCTTGTCCCATTGGGATGTAGAAGTTTTGTGTTGGTTGTCCTAGGGAAAGCCCAGTCTGAGGAATTCCTGGAAGCCCCTCATCAGAGCTTGCTACATCAAGCAGTCCAGTGGAATGTTTTTTGGTAACAGATTACTCCCAGGGCTTGATGTATCATGAATGCTGCAATGTTCTATATGGTGGTGTGGTCACTGGTGGCATACTGAAAGGACTGTAAGCATGTCTGAAGTGCAGCTGACTTAGCTTTAGCTGTCTATGTATGAGTCAAAATAGATACCTGTATTTGATCAGATGAATTGTTCACTCAACTCCTCAAACATGGACACATAGCTTCCATCCGGGCTCCTGCATTTCGGTAGAAATAATCCTGCTACTGACCTCAGCCTAAAGAGTAGATGGTCTGATGAAAGGTAGAATACGGATGAGATGAAACTATTCCCTGGGAAGTAAGGCATGGGTTATGTGATTCGTGATAACCTATTATGTGCTTTTCATTAGATGTTCCCTTCTCTTTCTTGACTTTGCATTTAACAGTTTCCCTATTTATTTTCTTGAATGGCATATGGCCATCTCTCATTTGTGTCCAGCAGAAAGCTGTGTAGAATTCACCTTAAGACAGTGAACTTCCATAGAGTATCCAAGCAACAAGGAGATGCCTGTACAGAAGCTCCTGACCTCAGCTAAGACCTTCAGTTGTAATATAACAACTTGCTCACTAACAGGGAAAAGGAAATGGCTGCTGATTGCCTCTGGATGTTGCTGAAAGACCAAGGAGTTGGCAGTACTGGTAATGATGAACAGGACCATCTGGTGATGGAAAAGTATGCTAGAGGATAATTTCCATAAGAGAGTGACTAGAATGTGTGTATAAAATCAGTTTTCTGATTCAGAAGAAACTCTGTCTTAATCTCACGTCATCTTGCATTTGTTGCTCTATAGACTTACATGCATCCTCTAATTCAGTTGTTTTCCCAGGTGAGCAGTCTTAATACCTGAACCCTTCTTCCTGAATCTGCTTTTCTAATACACACTTTCTTTTGTTTCTTCTGAGGTAGCAGTCCTAGGCTGTCTAGTTTGTCCATCCTTAGTTTTCCAGGCTCGCAGTTATTCTCTTAGTCCCGAAGTGAACCACTTCTACCTCTTTAAGAGCCTCTAACAGCAAAGTGCTCAGTACTGCACATTGTACACAAGACCTTCCTACAGATCTTTACAGTGTTGCTATCCTAATTGTATAACTGTGCTGTTCCATTCACACTGTAATAGCTTTGCATTTTGACAACTTGTTGGACATGGGAACTGTCCATGTTGGGGCCAGTGAATGGAAAAGGATCTTTGTGTGCTGGTTCAGGGATGTTTCTTCTAAGATCAATTTATTGAATTTGCAACCTGGCAAGGCATTTGAGTAGCCCATGTCTCCTGTTCAATCCTGCTGTGTTATATTTATTACCGATGATTTTTGTTTATGATGATGTGCATTTTCCCACTGAGACTTCTTCCATCTTCCTTCAAGGTCCTCCCAGGTCCCAGATAAACTTTTTGCCACCTTCAGCTTTTGCTATCCTTTTCTTCATCTTCTTTGTCATTAATATGCCAAGGAACAGAAGATCCCATGTACTGAATACTGAGATAATAGCTGACATGTTACTGTGCTGAATGTAGCATTGTTTTGATTGAAAGATTTTTAATAGCCAGCTCACTTTGTATGAATTTCCAAGTAGAAGTAGAGCTGCATTATAATAATTTATGAATATGTGCTGACTGAGTTATTGGGATGTTTATTGTTTGAATATGCCTGTGTAGCTCAGCAGAATGTTGTGAAGAAAAATAACAAGGGAAAAGAGAAGAAGAATGGCTCTGGATTGCAACTCTCAAAAGGTTATCCAGAAATAACTTCAGAGACAATACTTAGGGTGTTAATCCTGAACGTACTACAATCTCTTGTACCAGCTACCATGTAGAAGTGTTTTTCTTGACTTGGAGGCCAAGAAGGCAAATGGTTTTGGTCATGTTATGAAGGAAAAACCTTCCCTTGAGAGTCTGGAACTTTTGTTTATCAAACTGGACAGATGCAAAGGACAGGCTATATGGTGCAGAAAACATCCAAAAACATCATTCAAACCTCATCAAACACTGTGTAAGATGTTTGATATGTCTGGCTGATTTAAGCTGCCTTTTCTCTTCAAGTGTTACTGTTGCTTTTGGAAATGAGCAGTCCTCAGGGCTTCCAGAGCAGCTACGAACACAGTGCACGTGGAATGCTGAAGTAAAGGGTTGCAGTTAGGTTCAGTGAATAAGTGCTAAGTGGATCAAAGGAGCTGTGGACTAGCTGAGCTGTAAACCTGAAGTTGTTCCTGTGCAACATAGCATGCTTTAAACATTGAAGAGAAACAGACATTTTTGAAAAAGTAAAGGAATTGTCCTGGCAAAGACATTGACATTTGCAGCACTTCAGGAGTCTGTCTTACATACATATGTATATCTATATGTACATATGCTTTCAAGTCTCAGCAGAAGGAAAATCAAGGAATCACTTTCCAGGAGAAGCTCAGCTTGTGCTCTGAGTGGATGACTGCTCTAGAACAAGCAAATAACTTACATAAAGTAGGTGCAGATCAGATACGCTGAAACCTGGGCATCTTTAGCTTTCAGTTTGTTTTAGCTTCCAGGTAGGGAGATGGTAGTATGGTGATGCAGTGCTTCATTTTGCTTAGAGACACAAAAAGCTTCATTTGATGTAGTTTGAAAAATAATAATAACTAGAGATTGAGAATCAGAATGGAGAAGTACCTTGGCTTGTGCAGAACTGCTTTGAGTTAATGCAGTTGTCAGTTCTCAGAAACATGACCCTGAAGTAGCCTTGCTAGCAGAGCAGGTCAAACATCTGAAAACTTCCAGTGGTATTTAGTTCTGTATTTAAAATCTTGCGAATGAGATTCAAACTTCAAATTTTATTTATTACTTGCAAACATTAATTCCAGCCACTGTAGTTGTGTTTTACTGCAGTGATCTATCATTCTGCTATCTCCTTAAAGGGTCTTTCCTTTGATTTTTGGCAAGAACATTATTGGCATAATAGGCGTTATCATTTGCTTTTGTATGTATCACGTGTCATCACTTGCAGAGCTGGTTTTTTGTTGTGCAGCAAAGAGTTTATACATAGCACAGTCAAGTGGGCAGCTGGACTTCTGCCTAACTGTGCACTGAAAGGATTCAGGCACAGCACAGACTGGGAGCTGAATTTGTTCCTGCCTGTGCATTAAAGAAGCTAGTGCCTAGATCCATGAGAGACAATTTGTTGCCATCTCTCTTGTGCATTGTACCAAATCTCCTTGTACTTTTCTAGTTGAAGAAGATCGGTGGTGGAGGCTTTGGGGAGATTTATGAGGCAATGGATCTGCTTACCCGGGAGAACGTGGCCTTGAAGGTGGAATCAGCTCAGCAGCCCAAGCAAGTTCTCAAGATGGAAGTGGCTGTGCTGAAGAAGCTGCAAGGTAAGGCAAGAAAGCTCTTTGAACTCAAAGGTAGAGGTCACTGTGCATGTAAACTATTATAATCCAGACTTGCAAATGCTTTTTGGAAGTTTCTCTTCATCTAACTTATATGGGAACCGTTAGGTCATGGCCTGAACTAATGATTGAACAACTGGTGAGGGAGTTTGGCCAGCTCTGGGAGCACAGGTGTGAGCAATTCACCTGTGTGACCAGAAGGAGTCAACCCTGGGTTCACCCCACCCTAACCTCATTTAAGGACTGGCAGCCAAAAAGGAAGCATCTCTATTTCGAGATCGCCTCCTTTGGGAGTTTTCTAATGAGCACTTATTCTCAGAAAGTGGTAAACTATTCCTCCTTTACTACCAGACTGTGACCAATGCCTTTCTTGAGTAACCTGAAAATTAGTCAGTGGTAGCCATATCCTCTGCCTTATACCATACAAACCTGCAATGTTATGTTAAAAAATTCAACTCAGAAAATTAATGCTTCTGCAAAACGTCCTATTCAAATGGGTTCCAACTATAGGAGCTGTTTTTGTTCACTAAGTTAAAACAATAATGGGGAGACTAAAATTGTAATTGAGTATTTGATACACTAGTCTATTTTGTTTAGTGGTACTGATAAGATAATGCTGATTAGGTAATACTTACTAAAGTGATGTCTGACTAAGAAATAAGGCTAGGTTGTTGCTCCTAAAGGACTGGAACAGTGGTTGTGTCTAAAACACTGTGAGCGTGAAGGAGTCTCTGTGTAAAGTGGTTCAGTAGAAGATAAGTGCAAAAAGTGCAGCAGTTGCTCTTGGTTGAGGATATAGTGAGGGCTCTTCTCCCAAGCAAGTTCTCAAGAAGGAAGTGGCTGTGCTGATGGCTGGAGGAGGATGGAAACAATTTCCAAATCTGCCCTTGAGAAGCTGAGAACTCCTGTTTGCAAAAGAACTCCTGTTTGCAAAAGTGCAGTTGTACTGATTTCTTGGTGAAGGCAAAGACAACTACTGGCAGATACAGTTTTTATGAAAGGATATTTTCTTTGGCAGGATTTGCACTTGAGCCAGAGAAATGTCTTCTCACGAAACAGTGAGCTGTGTACTTATCACTAAGTCTCATGCTTCAGAGGTATTGTGGCCCTATGTCAGTGCTTGTGCCTTTGCCCCTGTACAAAATCTCCAGAGTTGATTGGATTAGAGGGTGAAACTTTTACAAGTCTTATCAAACATGGGTTAATGTCTGTGTCACACTGACTCTGTAGTGACTTGCATAAGTTTTGCATAGTTGAGCTTTTATAGGATGAGGACCGATAAAAGCCTTTTTGGAATACACCGTGTTATGATAGATACTTCTGTGCTTGGGAAAGGGAATGAAAGTAAAGAAGAAATCAACCCAGATCATTAAGAGATTATTGCTGGTGATGTGTGAAAGATATGGATATGCAGAGGCTCTTGGAGAACAGCAGAGCAGGTGGCTGAGTTCTGAAAGCAGTCTAATGAGAACCCACAAAGCAGAGATTTAGATTTTTGCATTTGGTTGTATGCTTGGAACTGCTCTGGAGTGAATGAGTGGTGTGACCGTGTAGAACGGCTTGTTATTAGAATAATGAGAGAGGATGTTATTATGCTGGCTAATGTCAATGCACACTATATCCAGAGCAGGGAATGCTTGAAAAGCATGACCTGAAAATACCAAATCAGAGCTAAAATGTTCAGGGAATTGACTAACGCATTTAATTTTCCATCAGCATTTGTTGTTGAAAATAGCAAGTGCTTGAAAAGCAGCCAGAATTGTATGCAGTGTGATCTTGGTAATCTAAGGGTGGGAAGAGAAAACTAGGAAAGTTCCCTGGCAAAGCAATTAGCAAGTATTAAGGAACAAAAAAAACAGAAGCGGCACAACTGACTATGCATCAGCTATCCAGCATTTAAGAATGACAAATTATTTCAGCCATGTTTGTACAAATCAAACTGCTCTGTGAAGAATGTAGCTTTTTTTGGTTCAAGGTTAATCCCCAAATGCTTTACTGAAATAAATTATAAAGTTAAAATAAGAAATAAGGTTGAGAGATTTGGGAATCATGCGTTGTGTATGTTTTCATAGTGAGCTGTTGAGGAGAGATGTGAAGTCTTTCAGAAAAGGAGACACTGACTTTAGGCAAACAATTGGTGGAAGAGAGTAAGATGGTGATACTACCGTAGATGTTTGTCAGTTTGTGCTTTTCCAGATGAAAAGCAAGGGGAAAGCCCCGTAGAGTCATTCTGTTCTGATCTTAATTGATTCAAATTTTCTAGCTGCGTAGGTCTTTTTCTTTATTTGTTTAGGTACAATGTCTTTGCCAAATGTCTTTCTGGCTTTTGTTGTTACTTGCAAGGATTCTGGATCACCCTTGCCTTCCAAGTCTTCATATTGTCTGGGAGGTACCAGCAACAGTACCCTTTTAGGCTCTGGATGAAACATGATTAAAAAACTATCTGAATCCTCACTGCAGGGTAGTATTCCAGCAGTCATGGCTAATTGCAGAATCAGTGGCCACAAAACTAAAACACTGGACTTCTTGTTAGTCGGATTGGCAGTGTGATTACACTGTGTCTGCTGTAAGTAAAGTTCTTTGCTGTTAATCTGCACCAGGCCTGAGTGCAGGAGTCACTTGTTGTTTCTGTTGGGCTTAATTACCTCTGGCTGATCTGTCCCTTCCATGGTTGAAGGAAAAAGCAGGACTAAGCTTATCCATAAGATCAAAAAACTTCTCTTGAAGAAGGCTGCCATGCAGTTCTGAGCTAGTAAGTGTTATGGAGAGTTAGAAGCCACATCAGCAATGGAAGATTTTTACAGTGATAGACTTTTGTGGTGTAAAGCAATAAGAAAATAATATGTAGCTTGTAATTTTAGAGATAATAAAGTAATAGTTAAAAAAAAATACAAAAAGATCTTATTTTTCTTAAGACAGTAGGGAATTATCCTGTTAGTGGTGAAAATCTTGCCTGTAACAAATTCAGGAGCTGTTTCAGGAGCTGTTTGGCACGTCTGTAAAGGGAATTTCTGCACAAATACAACTTCTCTATCAGAAGAGTAATATTTTAGTGCCAAGCCCTTCTTTTATTACTTTAATCACTATTGTTAAATTATTTTCAAGTGAGATAATTATATACAATTGTACCACTTGCAAATGGCTTTAACCTCAGTTAGGCTTTTGTCTACTTTGCAGTCAAGTATTTTGAAACCAAGTCTGAAATGTGTTGTCAAAGTACTTCTAGCAGATAGAGCTGGCATCCAGTATAGAAGGTTGTTGATGTAGGTACATCTGAAAGTGTTTGGCTGTGTAGGTAAGACTTTAGATCATATGTGTTAAAGAGGAATAGAAGTAAGATCTGTACGGCTAAGTGAACTCAAAGTTGTTTGTCCAGAGAGCAAGGGCTTCTGCAGGGTTGTCTGTGTCTACATTAGTGAGCAGCATAATATGAGCAGATCAGTAAGTTATAGCAGTTGCTGAGAGCCTATGCATCTTCACTGTATATGACTTGAGGACTTCTACACATAAATAGTGTGTGGTTTGGGAACTTTGCTTTGGGCTAACTTCAGCCAGTCCCTTGGTATGAAAAGCTCTCTTCATCCCCCGCAAAGAGAGGCAATTTGATGCTCTCTGAGGGACCAGTTGTTGATGTGGACTCTCTTTCCTTCACAATTTGGGAGCTACTTAGTATGCATCTGGAATGGAGCTTCTAGATACTTTTGTTCAAAAATAAGTTTACATGACCCACACCCACTCTACAACATGATGCATGGCAGTTGCAATGATTTGAGGCCTTATGGGAGTTTGCTTTAAAAAACCCTTACTGGTACAAACTAGGATTCTGAGACTCTTGTTCTTTGGAATCATAAGGGGGAAAAAATGGGATTGCTTTGTTACTTAGCACTTAGAAATGCTCCTTCTAGAAGAGAAGTTTTTCTATATCTTCCATACTTTTTAACCCTTTGGGATGTATGTGAAAGGTCATGAAGGTGATCAGAGGGCTGGAGCACCTCTGCTATGAAGAAAGGCTGAGGGAGCTTGTTCAGCCTGGAAAGGAGAAAGCTTTGGGAAGAACTCATTGCAGCCTTCCAGTACTTTAAAGGAGCATATAAGCAGGAGGGAGTTTTTTTTGTTTGTTTGTTTTGCATGGTCTGATAGTGATAGGTCAAGAGTGAATGGTTTTAAATTAGAAGTGAGAGATGTTAGGAAAGAATTACTTACTCAGAGAATGGTGAGACCCTGGCACTGCTCTCCATAGAGGCTGTGAGTGCCCCATCCCAGGAGGTGCTCCAGGCCACGTTGGATGGGGCCCTGGGCAGCCTGAGAGGGTGGCAGACAGCCCTGTCCATGGCTGGGGGTTGGAGCAGGGAGGGCTTTAAGTTCCCTTTCAACCCAAACCATTCTTTGATAGACAGAAACTGGTCTGCTCTCTGTATGATATTTTTCCCCACATTGGAGCTTTGTTGTGGAGTAAAATTAAACTAGTGAAGGGGCACCTTTGAAATACTGACCTGACTCTTTGGAGTTAATCAGAATGTAATGGCTGTATTAGAAGAGCTCTAGCACAGCTTTTGAGGTGCTGGGCCCAGGCTATTTCACTGTCAGTCTGTTTTTTCTGAGCACTATTTCTGTTCACTCACCAGAGGATTTTTTTTTCCTGGTGTGAGAGCTCTGTGTGCTTGCCTTTGACCTCACTTGTCAGCCAGATATTTCTAAGCTCTGCTCAGTGTGACATGTTCTTTGTAAAACCCTTCTTCTCAGTGTAACCAATCTCATTGCGTAGGACTCTGATTAATTTTATTCTGCAGTGCAGAGATCTTCTGCATATTGAATAGCTGTGCAAGATGCAGCCTGGTCACAGGCATTGTAGTTTTTGAGTGCTTGATTTTTATTACAGAAGACAATGAAGCAATTTTCTGTTGCTTGTTCCCCATTTACTGCCAGGGATTGGACAGGTAAGAATTCAGTAATTAAAAAAAAAAAAAATAAAGGGAACAGAAGGGATCTCACTTTTTTTTCTTGTTTGCCAGTCCTAATCCCTTCTTTTTCTATGTGTGACTTGCTCTTGTTAAAACGGTATCCTAACTCCCTGCAATTCAGTTTGTTACTTTCATAGTCACTTTTCATGTTTCTACAGCATTTTGCTAGGCTGATATAACCATGCTATCTGCAAAGGCAGGAAAGCAAGGTAAGTACCCTTGGAAGGTGTTAACCTTCCTCAGGGAGGCAGATTCATATACCTGAAGTAGCTCTAGCCTCTCTGCCAAGCACATTTTGCCAAGTGAGGAAGTCCTATGGGTGTTTGAACTGGCATTTGGATCTCATGTTTCTCTTAGCACTCACCATTCCTGTGATGCCATAGGCAGGTACACCTCCTTCTAGACCAGGTTGCTCACAGCCACATCCAGTCTGGCCTTGAATGCCTCCAGGGAGGGGCATCCACAGTCTCTGGGCATCCAGTGCCGGTCTCTCACCACCCTCACAGCGAAGAATTTCTTCCTAGCATCTGGTCTAAATCTACCTTCTTCTAGTTTAAAGCCATTTCCCCTTGTTCTTTTCCTACCTGCCCTTATGAAAAGTCCCTCCTCAGCTTTCCTGTAGGCCCCTTCAGTTACTGGAAGGCCGCTATAAGGTACCCCCATAGCCTTCCTTAGAATCATAGAATTGCTCAGGTTGGAAAAGACCTTAAAGATCATCTAGTCCAACCTCAACCTAACCATGCTACCCTAACTCAAACAACCCACTGCTAAACCACATCCCTAAAAAAAAAAACAACCAGTTGTCTTTCACAGCACCACATCCAGACAGTTTTTAAACAAGGCTGTTTACACACCAAGCAAAGTTGAAATGGGAAGCTACAAAACTAGCATTCACTAATTCCTTTTATGAAATTAATGTATCAGTCCTTAAACGAACATACTGATCTCTATTGCTAAACAAACCAGACTACATCATGAGCAAGCAATTCTATAGTTCGTTCATGTATGTACCAATGTTTATCCTTTTTTCCTTTTCAATAACTAAAACAAATCCACAGCACTTCTCAAACTGAAGAAAATTCTGTATCTTAGAGTAACAAGGATAATATAACAGTAGTATTGTCCTTGATAGTTTGTTGAGTTTCTGCTGAGGATGGGAGGCTTAAAATGCCTTGGAAGGACACTGTTGCTCAGTAGACACAGACCTTCTTCAGAGCCCCAGCTCTCTCAGCCTGTCCATAGGGCCCTTTCATCATCTTCCTGTCCCTCCTCTGGACCCACTCCAACAACTCCATGTCCTTCTTGTGTCGGGGGCTCCAGAACTGGACACGGTACTCTGAGTGGGGTCTCAAAAGAGCAAAGTAGAGGCACAGAATCACGTACACACACACACACACACACACACACACACACACACACACACACCACCCTTCAAATTGTGACTGTAATGTTGTATATTTTTACTTTTTTTCTTACTATTTATTTGATTAGTTTAATTGCTGTCTTGAAAACACACTAGGAATATTTAAATATTTAAATTAGTAGATTCAAATACTGGCTTCTAGTATTCTGAAACTCATATTTTTCCATGCATATGCTCAAAAAGATGATCATTTAATGTTTAAGTGCTGCGTAATGAATGTTTATCATGAAATTGAAAAGTTTCAGTATTAACCTGTTTCTTATTTTGTGTATCTACAATGTGATATATGTATATATATCCTATGGTAGAAAGGCTTTCCTCTTGTCATTATTTTTATACATTAGGAAATTGTTATTGAGTATAATTTTTGAGTTCTTTCAGAACAGGGATGGTGAAAGCCATTTCAGTGTCTGAAATATTTGTATTTCTTACCCCATAGTGTACAAGTGTATGTTCACTTTAATTTAAAAGCAATAGCAGGAAAAAAAACCAAAACATTTCTTTATGGATGTACATTAAAGCACTTCATTAACTAAATAGAGGAAATGAATGCATGTTTTTATCTGGCAGACGGTGTAGTAAAATGAGTACAGTGGAGCTTATACTTTTTTTTTTGTCTTTTCTAAGTGGAAGTGTTCTTTGGTGTGCTATGATCTTCATGCTTGTGGAGGGCATGTGTGAGGGAAGAAGGCTATTTCCTTTTGCCTTAAAGGAAGATATAACAGCTCCATCATCTTGATTGCTCAGTAGTGTTTTAACATGATTGGCCTTGTGTGCTACATAATTTTGATCAACTATAGGACTGATCTGCAGGAATCCCAAAGTCATAGCTGACTCTCCCATCTGCTACTTCAGCATGGCATGGACTCCTCTGAGAGAGCAAACAGTTGTATCCTAGTGTCTTCTCCAGCTGGAAAATGAGTAAAGGCATCCGAAACCCAAAGGGGTTTATGCTGTAAGCATTTATCCCATCTATGTGACCAGCTGGCTGTATATATGCTGCCTCTAAATGTGGCCTGCTTTCTCTTCACTTTTATGTTCCTTTTGTTTCATGCAGGAATTGGCACAGAAATGTGTTATCGACATAGATATGCATATAGTTCTCAATGATAAACAATTACAAATGCAAATATGTATTCTGTAGAATTTTGTGATCCAGAAAATAATGATATCATGAAACAAACTGATTTATAAGAAAGAGAGATGCTCAGGAATATAGCTGAAATCTGAAGCAGCCGTACGGAGCTAGCAGAGATGTATCTAAAGTCACAATCAAGTGTATCAAACAGTAGCATTCTGTTCCTCTGAAATAACTGACTTGAGTGGCTGAGTTCTCACTGTTAGAGGATTGTTTTTTTATGTCTTCGTCTGTAATTTTAGAGCAATAAAAAGTACCTAGTGCACTTGCTGGGAGTGTTACACAATCATTTAAAACAATAAAAACAAGTAAAAAATGTAGTCTTTTAGTCTTTCTACCACACGGTAGCTCTCATTGCTAGCAAAATAGTCATTGTTTTGGTTCTTGCCTCAATATCCATCTTATTGTGCTCTAAAAGGCAAACCAAAGCAAAGTGTGACTTGCAGTGTGTAAATGTATGAGGCTGAATTGTGCTAGTCTGGGCTGGGGAGTCAGTGCTGGGGTGAGTGGGAGTCTGTGCTGGGAGTGCTCATCACTGTATTGTGCATCTTTCTTAATTCTATTTTTTAGTAGTCAGCTTTTAAAAGAATATGTACATCATAACATATACATTGCCTGAACCTAGTGTGGTTCAACAAGGCCAGGTGCATTGTCCTGCACTTGGGTCAGTGCAATCCCAGATATGAAGAACTCACCGGGAACAGTCCTACAGAGAAGGTCTTGTGGTTCTGGTGGATGAAAAGCTGGGCACGAGCCAGCAATGTGTGCTTGCAGCTCAAGAGGCCAACAGTATCGTGGGCTGCATTAAAAGAGGGATGGCAGCAGGGAGAGGGAGGGAATTGTCCCCCTCTGCTCTGCTCTCGTGAAGCCCCATCTGGAGTACTGCATCCAGCTCCATGCCCCCCAGCACAAGAAAGATGTGGAGCTGTCGGATCCAGAGAAGGGCCACGAAGATGCTTGGATGGCTGGAGCATCTCTTCTGTGAAGATAGGCTGAGGGAGTTGGGCTTGGTCAGCTTGGAGAAGAGAAGGGGAGACATCATTGCATCCTTCCAGTATTTGAAGGGAGCTTTATAAGCAAGAGGGGACTGACTTTTTACATGGTCTTTCTTCTGACAGGACAAGGGGCAGTGGCTTTAAAATAAAAGAGGAGAGATCTAGATTAGGCGTGAGGAGAATTTTTTTATATTCAGAGGATGGTGAGGCCTTGGCACAGCTGCCTGGAGAAACTGTCAGTGTCCCATCCCTGGAGGTGCTCCAGCCAGGTTGGATGGGGCCATGGGCAGCCTGAGCTGGAAGGGGGCAGCCTTGCTTATGGCACAGAGTTGGAACTAGATGACCTTTATATCTCTTCCAACCCAAGCCATTATATGATCATACTTCCCTTCTGCTAATACAGAAAGCATGTAATCTCAAATCCATTATGGGACATGATCTGAAACCACAACATCTGCTCTGTTGGGAACACACTGTTGTTTTTTGAATATGAGTCCTGACTGGTGTCACTTGATAAAAAGTAAATGCTGCAGCAGCACTTCTGTGCCACAGGGAATGAACTTCAGAGGTCTAACAAGTATTGTGTGGTGGCTGGTTTGTTTTGATTTTGCCTGAGTAGAGAGATTTGTAATTTAACTGTATGCCAGAACATGACATGTATTTCTTCCCTTTTTTTATTATAAAATTGCCTTTAACAACTTCTACATTTTAATAGTTTTTCACATGCATTTTTCTTTTTCCAGAGTTTCTGACAAATAAAATTAGCGTTTGCTTATGCATGAAGTAGCATGGGAACCAATCTAATAGGGCAAGTATTGGGGCAGTTGTGTGCAAGTCAGTATTAACTGAGTGAAGTTGGTGTAACAAGCTTAAACACTGTCAGTAATCTGGGAAACCACACAGTTATACGTGCTACTTATGTTTTAGTTGAGAGGCTGGTGGTGCTACATGCGTCTAGCGTTGGTATGAGCTGCAGTTAGGCACACTCTTAGCTGTGCCCTGCAGCATCAGTTTGAGGATTCAGGGATCTGTGGCACTGGTTTCCACTTGTCACAGTTTACCTGTGCGGTGTCAGTACTTTCTTGAGATGAGGGGCTGGGAAGTAGAAACAAAATTAATCTGTTCTGCAGAACTCCCTGCCTGATGCCACTTCAGGTTACCATACTTGTTAGAAACCGTGTGCCTAAATTTGATCATGTGGTTATTGTCTCATGTTCTACTCTGTATGTTTCTGTTTCTTTGCAGGGAAGGATCATGTTTGCAGATTTATCGGCTGTGGAAGAAATGAAAAATTTAATTATGTGGTCATGCAACTTCAGGTGAGTTCTGTGCTTCTTCTCTCTTTCTTCTGTCCCACAGAAGTGGCACAGGGAAGGATTTACAGTGGGAGGATAAAGCCAAGCTCTGGTGGAAAGTGCATGGAACAGGAGACAGCGTGAAAGGGTGTGTTGCTGTGATATCTCTTAAGAGATTTCCAGTTGTCAAGTTGTGCTGAGATATTTCATAGGTCCACTTCTCTGTCTAATATGGCTTTGTGACAATTTTCTGAGGAAAGCACTCAATTCAGGATGTTTGCTGGAGCTACCTGCAGAATCTTGCAACAGTAGCAGCTGTTTGAAATATCTCCTGCTGAGCTGTGATAGAAAATTCAAACTATGTTTTGTATTGGAGCTCAGGTGTGGTCTCATACCAGTAGCTCAATCTTCTGATTGAAAGAGTGATATCTCTCCCATTTCTACCAACATCGGCAGTAGCTTGGCTTCTGCTGTGGAAGTATTTTCTCCTGTTTGAGCAACATTCATACTGAGTCAACCTGTGTGATAAATATGATCACCATGCTGCTAGACACCCAGTTACTTCTTTTGTAGGTAACCAGCTACAGTTTACACGGGTCTGTCTAAAGAAGCTGTGATAAAAGCAGGAGCTGAAGGGATTCCTCCATGGTTTTTACAGGAAAATTTACTAAATAAACATACACATCTTCATCGCCAAAATATGGTGGTACTGTCACAAAGGCAGCTTTCTTTTTCAGCATACAGTCACAGGAGATAGAGGGGAATGAGTGGGAAGATATGTCTGAATCAAAAACACGTGAGAAAGGTCTTTCATGGGAGAGAGATTGTCCCTGGTTCAAAGGGAATGCTTTCAAACTAAAGCTGCTTTTTTTTTTTTGACACAGTTGCCTTGGAAGCTATCCAATTTCAGCACCTGACATAAGATTTGGCAGGGAACTTGTCCTAACTCTCTTGTAGTTTGTATGTCCAGGGTTTTGCTATACAAAGCACTGTATGTTTATACCATAAAGCCCACCTGTCACCTGAAGAGCTTTCAGATCCTGCTGTCTTTTCTTTATGTATTATGTGGGTGATGGTGCATGCTGAAATGAGGAAGGTGAATTAGTAATACAAAGGAAGTTGCTGCATGACCTGGAAGGTTATTTTTAGTTAGTGTCTAAGAAACTTGACAGAGAAAAGAAAGACCTGATGTCAGTTCAGAAACTCAGACCTTTCAGGATAATGATGACAAATCTGTGCTGCCTCTAATGAACTACTACAGAAATTATACAATAGGAAAAAAAAAAAGGCTAGGCTACTACTTTAGTGGTTTCTTTTTTTGTCATTCACACTAAGGAGCAAACATGGACCAGTTGCTTGGCTGTATATATATTAGCTGGTCTTTGTCAAGAGTGAGTGGTCATGGGACTGGATACTTGGAAGCAAGATGGATTAAACCAGTTTGAAAGACTAAACCTTAAGATGAAGAGCCAGTTGCAGTTGACTCCTTTGTTTTTTATTAAGCTTATTTACTTGGGAATTGCAGATGGGTGGATGAATAGATGTCATTCCACTGGTATGGAGAGCAATCTGCTTTCTCATCAGATGTTTGTTATCTTATGTTCTGTTGTGGATTTTGTTAGAATACCTGGACTTACAGTGTAAGCATGTATGTCTTTGCAGAAATTGAATCAACTGACTCTACAGTACAGTGGTATATAACTTATTCTTGATACGTGCTTTCCAAAATAGCAGTTGTTTATTCCCAGTGGCTTTCAGCTGTTGATACCTGCATTAGCTCTGTGGATTACAGGGGTACTCTGTCATAGAAGATACTCATTTTAAAACCTTCTTTATTTTTGTAAACCAGAAGTATAAGCAAAACTGATATGACAGGGATCAAAGTACCTGTTATTCTGGTGTTTAGACCGCCCTATGTTTTTTCTGAATTGTCTTTATTTTCAAGCTGTGCTGGTAGATTTTTTTTTCCTAGAAGTTTAATTAATAGAAGGTTCAAATAAAAATCATATAGTTTACAAGTATCCTTTTAGTCAGTGGATCCCTTCCTGGTTTGAAGCACAATTATTTTGATTGACAGCCCTTCCCATTGTGGCATTGCCACAACAATGCTGATTTGAACTTGAGCCAACCAGTTAGTGCTGGGGAATTTGTGATGAAACCACTTCTCCGAGTTGTTACAGATAGCTTCATGACCTGTTTATCATACATGTACTGCTTTCAGTAGTAAAGACTTTCAGAAAATAAGTCCAAGATTGTTCTTAATTCAACTTCCATGTAGCCTGCTCTTAACAGTAAGGGGATGCTGGGCTTATACAGTTTGAGGCAGTGCTGTCCATGCCCTGTATTTCTGAAATAACGAATCAGCTGACTTCCTAGATACTGATTTGATATCTTCTTGTCAACAAATACATCACTTAAGTTAAAACAAAGTACTTGAAGACCACTTTGAGAAAATAAAGGAGGCATGAGGTGAGCATTTGTCTGGTTAGCATTTCTGCTTTTTGGGGATGTGTGTTAGACCTTTCAGCTGTGTAATGCTGTGTTTTATTGTGATAGTTTAAACATTAAATGTTGTATTGATTGTTTCAGGGCCGAAATCTTGCAGATCTCAGAAGAAGTCAGCCTCGAGGGACCTTTACACTGAGCACAACGCTACGATTAGGCAAACAGATTCTGGAGTCAATAGAAGCCATTCACTCTGTGGGATTTCTACATCGTGACATCAAACCTGTATGTTATTTTGAAAATCTGCCTTTTGCTGATAAGTCTATCTGTTATGCTTGTGTCGATAAAGGCAGCCTAATGGACTGAACATGGTCATATTTCAGTGGCAGCAATTAGACCTCCTTGCGCACTAGCACTGTCTAACATGCGGGCTATTTTCCATAAGTACAAAATGAAATTATATTATTCTTTTAAGTGCATAGCAAACTAGTTTTCATTGGCAAAGGCTAATCCATGGTGTAGCTTTTGATCTTACTTTTTCCAGTGAAGATCACCCAAGGAAGCAATCCGGTGTTGAACAGTCCTCTTGGAGTCCAACTAATTACTACTACAAAAGAAATTCAGAAAGGATATTTTGTACTATGACCCGTAACTCAAATAAATGCCATTTCATTGACTAAATAAACCTTGTAATCTTTGGAAATGCAGCTGTAGTGTTGGTCATCGAGGTGCCTAGGTGAGGCACAATAATTCCAAGCCAGTGTGTTTTTTTTTTGATCTCATAAACACTTGAACGGAACGCTTTTTGGTATATCATCTGTGTGACGATCTTGTTCAGTTTGCTGCTTTGAAAACTGGTTTTGGCTGATCTGATTCATCTGAAAAGTTAGCTGACTGGTTGCTAGTAACTGGCCAGAAGTCCTTTAGCAGCTCTTGACTGTGCTTAAGGACATAACTTTATGAAACTGCTGAACTTCCCTGTTGTCAATTTGTTTACTAAGAGCCAAACCTAGTGTTTCTCAGATGTCTTAATATTCAGATAAATTTAAATATGTGATAAAGTAGATAGGGAGTTTTGTAGTTGGAGCAGGAAAATGCACATTACCACCTGAGCTATGAAGACAAGTTAAGCATTTGTCTATGATAGCTCTAGCCTGTTATGCAAGTGATGGAGCTCTCACTGCAGAGCTATAGGTGCTAAATCTAGCTCTTTTTCACAGCAGCTGTAATTTTGCTAAGCTAATGAGATTTTTAGTTATTTTGAGATTCCATAGTCACTTAGCTGCAAAGTGAACTTAATAAATGGCAGTGGTTCCCCAGACATATTTAAGATGTATCATGAGATGTATTTTAAAATTCCTCTCTTCTGGTTTCATCTGAAGTGTTTGGGGCTATATGACAAAGTTTTGTCAACAAATGGCTACTCTTAGCCAAGTTGCTGTTACCAAAGTGATTTTGTTTTTTAAACTTTCTTTTTGTCTAGTCCAATTTTGCCATGGGCCGGTTACCTTCAACGTACAGGAAATGCTACATGTTAGACTTCGGCCTGGCCCGTCAGTATACCAACACCACTGGTGAAGTCAGGCCAGTAAGTACATTTCAAGCAATTTTTTCCACTTCTGCTATTGTTTAGGCAAGGAAAAACTTTTGTTGGTCTGTTGGTTTTGTTGTTAATATACTTGAATGTTATACTGAAAATATTGGACTTCATTTCCTACGAGGTGAGAAGCAGCATGCAACTTCAAATGAGTTAGCAGTTGAAGAGGGGGTGTTTGCTATTGTCTCACAAAATGCATGGCTTTTATTTATTTATTTTTTCTTCAGGTTAAGTGTGTATTCCACAGGCTAAGAATACTTGCTGACCAAGCAAAGAGGGTGAGCCCAATGTTGGCCATATAACTTCTGTAGCATCAGTGGTCTGACCTGCTTTAGGTCTCTGATATGGGGAACCAGGTTGGTGGATTCATAGAGTTTTTTATGGAGAAAAAAAAGAAAAGGCTGGTATGGTCTCTGAGGCTGAGCTTCCTATAGACTGTAATGCTGATGACACACTTGTCTGGCTCTGGTTTTGTGTCTATTGCCCCTTGTCCAGATTTCTGAGCAGCAATATTTCAGCATGCCTGACTGAAGAGGAGGTAACAGCAGAGAACATAACTTTCACTACCTAGTGTGCATATTACCTTTGATCCTTTTGAAAGCACGGGCTCACTCACAAATGTGCAGTAAGCTTCAGATGCTCTAGATGCCCCAACAAGTAGCAATCAGAGCATTCCCAGACTTATTTTGAAACACAGTACAAGCTTGGAGAGTTCAGACAATCTCTGTGTTTATCATCATAGGCCGATACCTTTTGGTCTCCTTGTCTTTTCCATGTGTATTAGTTGTTCTGGAAACTGTTAACAGTGTGAGAGTTAAATTTGGAGACTCTGTAATGCAGGATATGGCTGGGGACTGTGAAGAAAGGAAAGACAGAGATTGTACCCAGAGCGGTGGTCAGGGGCTCAGTGTCTGGATGGAGATCAGTAGCTAGCAGCGTCCATCAGGGGTCAGTACTGGAACTTGTGCTCTTTAACATCTCTATCAATGATACTGACAGGAGGATTGAATGCACACTAAGCAAGTTTTCAGATGGTACCATGCTACATGGTGTAGCTGATGAGACCAAGGGGTGGGATGCCATTCAGAGAGACCTGGACAGGTTCCAGCAGTGGACCCTGGTGAACTTCATGAGGTTCAACAAATCCAGATGCAAGGTCTTGCTATCAGTACAAGCTGGGGAATGATTTGGGGTTACTGATGTATGGCAGGCTGGATATGAGCCAGCAATGTGCCCTTGCAGCCCATGATGCCAACCATATCCTGGGCTGCTTCAAAAGAAATATGGCCAGCAAGTCAAGGGAGGTGATGCTGCCCCTCTGCTCTGTGCTGCTGTGATGCCTCACCTGGAGTACTGCATCTAGATGTGGAGTCCTCAGTACAGGAGAGACATGGACCTGCTGGAGCGTGTCCAGAAAAGGGCCACAAAAATGATCCAAGAGATGGAACACGTCTCCTGTGAGGACAGGCTGAGAGAGCTGGGGCTGTTCAGCCTGGAGAGGAGAAGGCCCCAGGGAGATCTGAGAGCAGCCTTTCAGTATCTAAATGAGGGCTATAAGGAGAAAGGGGATAGACTCTTCAACAGGGTCTATTGTGATAGGTCAAGGAGAAATTATTTCAAACTAGAAGAGGGGAGATTTAGATTGCACATAAAGAAGTTTTGTTTTTGTTTTTTGTTTCTTTTTAAACCATGAAAGTGGTTGAGGCACTGGTGCAGGTTGCCCAGAGAGGTGGCGGGTGCCCCATGCCTGGAGACCTTGAAGATCTTTATTAATTGTTGGGTTTTTTTTCCTGCTCAGGTAGGTTTCATGTTGTTCCCCAAAGTTTCAAGAATTATCTTTTTCTTTTTTTATAATACCTTAAAAATTGTTTGCTGTTTTTACGTCCTCTGAAATTCATAACATCAGTCTTGCTTGTCAGCCATTCAGAAAGACTGAATGACTTGCTAGTAATATAAACGATGGACTTGGCTGTTAGGACATTGTGGTTCTGGTTTTGTTGTTTTGTTTTGGTTTAGCTTTTTGTTTTTATATCTTTGGCCTTACTATTTTTGGTCAGTTTTCTACTTTAAAAACACACTTGACTTTGAGGAAGGGAAAAGCCAGCAATTCCAAGGAGCAAAATCCACTGGAAAATTGTACGGGCACTGTTTTGTTTTTGTTTTTTTAATTTTGTATGTGCAATTCACTGCTTGCCAAACACTGACTTCTTTTTTAGTATCAAAAGGCAAGGAGCCCCACAATAGTCAGATAAGATAGGCTGTTGCTAAAAATGTCTGATTCTGATTTTTGGGCGATTAGTTGGAATTTTGAGGTAGGATCATTTATGGTCTCCATAATCTTCAGTGAGTGTTAGTTCCTCCATCCTCTAGCTTTTTAGACCCTCTAATACCTTATGTGGAATACTAATTTTAGCACAATCTCTACTCATTGCACGGATTTGCTTTCATGGGAACGGTCTCATACCTCTATCAGTTGTCTCTTACCAGATCTTGCAAAATCTACAGTACAAAGTCTGTAGGAACTTGCATTATATTATAGACAACAAAAGGTTGGAGCCAGGAGATATGTAAGGAAGCATCAGCAACATTTTTTTTTCCCTGTTAGCAATTAGAGTAATTTTGTTCTCAGCAGCCACATTGCTTAATATTTCTCTAAGGGTTGTAGAAGTCATTGCTTGATGGTTACTGCTTTGGACAGGTAGAGCAGATGTGCATCAGCCATTTGTTATCCACTGTGTGCTGAGAACTTCTTAGGGCCTGTCTGGAGGCTGTTTCTTTGGCTGCCATCAGCATTTCTGGCATCTGTATCACAGTCATCAGCCTGGTTAGCAGGAGGGACTCCAGCTATTATGATAAGCAGGACAGACTGCCAGTGCAAAAAAAAAAATCTTCTGGAGGGTTTTGTTTTTCAAATGGTTGTGAGGATGGAAGAATGAAAGATAAGAGGGACAGCTGACAAATCTGCTCAAGAAGATCATGACTTCTTTTCTGTTCCAGACTTAACAGCCATTCTCTCCTGTATGAAAGGTCACAAATGCTGATTAAATCCAAACATTTAAAAAAACATCTGAATATTTGAAAAATTGAGATTTTTTTTTTTTAAAAAAGCAAAAACATTGCTGCCTTCTGTACTGACAGTATTCCTACGAAATCTCCACACCCCATTTTTGCCTACTTGGAAAGGAAAATTAGGAAACATAAGTAACTGAGGACAGTGTCATCTTGGGCCAGTCAAAACTTAATCCAGACTGCTGATATGTAAAGTACTTCTTTCTTCCCTTAATATTTAAAGCAATGCCATTACCTCATTCAAGACCACTGCCCTTGCTTTTCAAATTCATCTCTTCAGCCTCCCCCAGTATCTAATTTTTCCACAGGATCTGTAGATTTGTTACCAGCATGAAGGTTCCTAACCAGGTGGGATGGAATGGTTTGAATTGGGCAGAACCTGTTTGTTTCTCAGTTGTAAAAGGCTTGGAAGTCTGCTTAAAAAGAGATGATTTATGGAAGGAATCTGTTACATCAGCTCCAGTTAATAACTGCTTTCAGATACAGAGGATACTTTTTGGAGAAACAAATCCAGTTTTTCCTTTGTGACTTTTTTTTGTACTCTGCCATGAAGATGTGCATTTTGGGATGAATCCCAAGAGTATCCGTAACAAATTTGACATTACAGGATACTGAGACCTTTTATGTGAGTCTAACCATTGTTTTGTCTAAACACAGCCTTCTGCCATGGTTGAGACAGACAGAAGAGCAGTCTTATTTACTGCAGTGTCCCATTTGTACAACCGACCTTTGCCATGCAGCAGTGAACTGTAAGCACTTAGTGCTGATGCATAGCTTAGGACAACCAAGCTAAGCAGCTAGAGAGTGGACTGAAAGGTTGCTTTTCCTTACGTTTCTGCCAAAAGTGTACAAGGAAAAAAAAAAAAAGAATCTTGCCTTCATTTTCATAGCAGAATGTATCTGATATAGAGAAATAGAGCAGAGTATTAACCTGGAGGGTTATAAACATGAATGCTGTTATGCAGATGATGTGATGAACAGCATATGCTCATATAGTGGAGGTACACAGAGTCACGAGAGACTTCTGTGCTAATGTAGGTCAGTTCATGGACAATAACTTCTTGATTATTACTGGTCATTGTTCAGATCTGTTTTGTTTATCAGTGCTGTACGGACAGTATTATAATTTTCCTCTATGTGTGACACCCTGCCTTCAGAAACATATAACCTGTGGTGCCACAGACATTAATTGAAAGCGATGGAGGCTTTAGCAACTTGATCTTCATTATTTATTTGAAAATACAGGAGAGGAGATGCTGTGTTGTTTTTCTCTAGGAGCCTCTCTCCTGTTTGCAGGATCTGACACTGGGTTGTTATGCTCAGCAAGCAGATTTTTTTTAGCTTAGTCAGCTGCAGCCCATTGATTAGATCTCTTTCTCCTCATGGCTCAGACTGCACTGCAGCAGTTTGCAGTGCCTTGCCGAAAATACCGTGTGTGTGAGGGTGGCTCTGTGATTCAGTGGGCAGAGAGAAGAGATGGTAGGCAGGACAACGCGGAGCCTGTTTATATGAGCACGATGAAGGCTGCAGATATTTCCAAATATCTGTGCAGTGTTAAAAATGAACTTCACTGCAGTGAACAAGGTTTTAGAAGATGAGAGTATGGCACTTTTTTTCTAATGAGGGGTTTTCCTCCCTTCTACAAAATGAGTTCTTTTATAACACAAAAGAGATTAACTCCTACATCCTAAGACCCCAAATATTCAAACATAAAAGCCCAGTAGATTTCATACTTAATTTTTCTTGAAACATGTAAGATGTAATGTTACTGGTAAGGTTAGCATTTTTGCGATAGAATAAAACAAATTTCTAGACCTGTAGTATTCAGAGCACTGCATTAGCCTAGGAAGAGAGAAAGCTTCTCTTCAACTTTGTATTGTAAAAAAGATAATTGCAGAAAAGGCTGGCAGCCCAGCGCTGTC